CACATTTTATTAACATTAAAAATACAATTTTAAAAATAATAATAAAATTATTTTAATATATTAAAAAGATATTTAAAAAAATAACTACAATAATACCAAACTCCACTTTAAAAGCATGGATACACATTTTATTAACATTAAAAACAAATTTTTAAAAATAATAATGAAATTATTTTAATATATTAAAAAATATTTTAAAAAACAATAACTACAATAATATTAAATCAAATCACACGCTTATTCGATAATATGATTATAATTTTTTTTAAATAATTTTTTGTATTAAAACCCATCCCAATAATTACTTTTGCTTGAGCGTTCTGGCATAAAAAAAATCTTGCCTTCCAAATTCCAACTGCAACGTTTGGCTGTGTTCTGAGCTGAAAAGTTCAAAGTGCAAACTGCAAACCATACCCTCAACCCTGATTGAGTGTTAGATAGATTGAGAGACCACTAAAATCACCATAGCTAATCGCGCTAGAGATCTATTTTTCCTATCATTAATTGAAAAATAAATATTATCATGTACTTTCTTATTTTATTTCTCGCAATGTTTAATTGTAATCTCAGGTAATGACGCAAGATATTGGAAATTGATGAAAAGAATTAGTCAAATTGCAGGAGATGTGCTATGTGCAGGGAGCAAATGTAAAGGGGAAGATGATGTTGTTTTGTATCTGGGAGAAATATACGCTGAAGAAGTGTCCATCAGACTGTCAAACTCGATCTGAAAGTACAGAGAAAGACAGAGGTCCAAAGCACATAGAGAGACATATGTATTCTTTGGAACTTCTTCCTGTTTCAAAAACATTCACCCTCTGGCAATGGCCAACACCTGGCCGTTTGTTAAGGCCCGGGAAATTTGGTCATTAGCATTACTAAATCCTGTTTTGTCTGGAGCTTTCAGAGAAGCAGAAGCAACACATGCAAATCGCAATTTCTGCGGTCTCCAATGCCTCGCAAGCTGGATTTGATTAACATATCAGATTGATCCAAAACCCATTAACCCTCTTATTAAATTAGAAAAATAAATCCACGAGGAAGGAAGGCATGCAATTTTCTGTGGCACCCTGCGTCTCACAGGCTGATTTAACAGGTCCAGTTGAAAAATGAACTTGGAATTAAGGGATTGGTCTAGAGCTGTTAGATGCAAGAATGGTTTTTCTTTTTTCTTTTTCTTAAAAAAAAAAAAAACATCTGTGGTTCTTTTGGATCCGTTTTCATGCATAGACAATTAGCTAGAGCTTCCTGCTATACAGGAATTTGCAACAGCAAGGAGGTCCTACCTTGGAACAATACGATCTTCCTTCAAAGGGATGTGAAGTGTATTCGACTTTTCAATGTATAACTTCATTTCTTTGAAACATTACTATCTCCAGGGATCATCACTTAAGTCTAAAGGTTTAGTTTACGTGGCTTAAACCCTACTCCTCCTAATCGATATCTAATCCATGGCCATCTTTTTTTTGTTCCATTAGACATGCTAGCAACAGTGGCAATAGCAATTCATACACACACACACACAAGAACGTAAATTTATAGCTGCCACAGTCAAGATTGTCACTAGAATGATTTTGGAATCCAGCTTTTAAGCCAATATTTATGTAATGGTTCGAAATCTCTTGTCTGACAGACACAAGCTCTCCTTCTTCTCAGCCCCCTTCCTTGCTGCAAAAACACGTCCTCTTTCAGAACAAGGAATTTAAAATAGCTAGTTCATTTATTTACGATTACTTGACCAGGTAACTGGGCCTAGGGACTCTCTAAGATACTATTTTTAACCCTGTCAAAGCTTCACCGTACATTGGGTTTCAGAGCCACGTGATGCTAAGTTTTTGTGCACGCAACCATTCTATGCCAGCTTTGAATGCTTCTTCTTATTTTTCTTGACAAAAACGAAGGAGTGAATTGTTCTCGAATCTTGAACGCAATTGTAACTTAGCCCTTCATGTTTTAAATCATTATGACAGCATCCATTAACCTTTCCTTGTTGGCCGTATAACATCAGTTGATTTCTCTCTAAAACCTCACTATATATATATATGTTGGTTAATTGTCTCTAGAACCCAGATTTCTTAATTAAGAAAAAGCTAGCCAATTAACGTTTTAACAAGACGATGATCAGTAAGAAGAGTTTAGTACTAAGTTACATGTTTCAAAACATGAAGGACTTGGTTATAATCTCATTCGTTGAAACTAAGCTAAAGAATAATCTACTAAAAAACAAAAGCCAAGGCTTCCGTCTCAAATTTATGAAGAGAAACAGTGTTCCACGATCCCAACCAAACCCCCTAACTACCACTACTACCCACTGTCCCTATTAAATCTCTCATTGCCATGAACAGGGGCAGTTCAAAGAAGGGTTTGAATGGGGCAACAGTAAGACACACCGTTGGGTATGGAAATAGTGTTGAATCAATCAAAAAGAGATGGACCACTGAAAATGTGGTAAGCAAGATAAACGAATGGGACACAGCTCACGTGAAAAGCCCTCGACTGCATCCTATCACTCTTGGTAATCTTTTATTTCGTTCTTTTTTTTTTTTTTGGGTGAAAGAGAAAAGGAGGCATGTTCTTGATAGATGCTGTGTGACACAGACCACACGTTGGCGTAGATTGTTTAGCTGTTTAGATGGTATGTTTGCATTTTAAAATATTTTTTTATATATAAATATATTAAAATAATATTTTTTATTTTTAAGCTATTTAAAAATAAAAAAAAATTAATTTAAAATAAAACAATTAACAAATTGCAAAATAAAGGTTGGACGCCGAGCCAACAGGCATTTAGTAGCACATAGTAAATTGCAAAAGCTTTCAATTGAAACGTTCATGGTGAGAGGCCTGAGCACCCATTCATCTCTGCTACTCTATGCAGTCACTAATGCCTTCTAAGTTTTTGTTTATAGAATGTTCATCGAACTTTAATGCTAACATGATAAAAGGGTATTTGTTTCTCCTTCGTCCTTTTCCAAGGACTTTCGCCATTATAGAAGTGTTTAAATCCGTACTATCTATGTAAAACACATAAATGAGTGGATATTAGAAATACAAGGTTTTTGTACAACTGTGTTTGTGTTGAATTTAATACTTCATTTGTTATTTCTTTTCATCATTCATGCTTGTCTTTTAAATTCCTTTTCTTTAACTAAAATTTTTAAATATTTTTCTTCTTGTAAATCTATTTACAAGCTTCAATCTCATAATTTAAAAAAAAATTAAAATAATTTTTTTAACTAAACAGAGAAAACCTCCTCTCTTCGTAGTTGCTGTTTCACATGAACACTAGTAGCGAGAATAGTTATATTAGGTCTTATGAGTTAATTACTGTTATACCCTAATCTATCCCCATTAAATTTCAGTTTATTATACCGATTTAATATTATATTTTTACTTTTAAAACCTTAGTGAACTCCGATTAATCTCAAAATTTAACTTAAAATAAAATAATATATCTTAAGATCTCATATAAAATACCAACCTGATTAAATGGTTGGATTATAAGATATGTTTAATATTATAAAACTAGACAATTAAAAATTTCACAATAAAAATCCAAATTTTACAAACCTTATAATTTATTTAAATCATCTTGGATTCTAATTCTTTGAAGATTTCTATTTATAATTATCATAATTTTTTTTTCTAGATTTCTTATCATTTTCAGTCTCAATAACTCGATTATGCGCAAGGATTATACTAAAATTCAATGTTTCTTGTGCATAGGATCATGCATTGATTTATTAGATATTTTTTTTATTTAACACATAATATCATTCAATTTATAAAATTTTCTCCTTCAAATTATTATTCTTACCTAGTCAGTGAGTTTTCACGATTTATCGTTAATTAATATTTTACATAATAATTTATTATTTTAGCTTCTCTAAATTTTAAATTAATCCCCTAAAAATGTTCATCTTAATTCACAAGATTTTCTTCCTAATTTATTATTTTTTAGTTAATAATTACCCTATTTAATATAAATTTATCTATTTTTTACTAGGAATTTACAAAGACACTCAATCGGCTTGTCAAATTAACCCTGCAACCCACCAACACAAAATTAATTTGGCTAATAAACTTGGTGATACACTGACTTGAGGCTTATCCTTGATTTTGTCCATAAAAAAATTTAATTTTAGTATGTTTTTAAAAATAGTTTTTTTAATGCATTAACATAAAAAAATTTAATTTTTTTTATTTATCAAAATGATGTTATTAGAATTTTTTTTTTATAAAAAAAATCAAAGATCAAGTTAATCCATACCGACCCTCGACGAACGACTCGAGCTTTAAACAATTCAATCTCGGGAAGGCCCTTATAACCATGTATTTTAGATCCTAAAAATGGTCTTTAAATCAAATTCGTTCTATATACATTACTAAACCAAGACTCGCAGGACTGACACAGATTGCATATAGCATTAACTAACAAAATAAATGCTTAGCAAATATACCATTACTTCAATTTTTTATTTATTTATTAATGTGTATAATAATTAATTAATTTTATTAAACACATGAATCAAGTTTTCGATTTGCATTTTAGACTTTCCATTGCCTGCAAGAATATGAACGATGCCTCTGTTTTTGTTTTTTGGTATGCTATGGAATTGATTTTTGATCCGATTCACGGGGCAGGCATCAAGAATGGCCACGTAACTATTTCGAATTGAAAATTTCTAGCATCCCACGGCTACCAGTAACTTCAGTCTGGCAACCAAAAGATCTAAGGGCTATCAAAATGAGCAAAAAGACAGACTCAATGCCGAAAGAAAAGGAAAACAAATATAAAATAATCGACGTGGCATATCAATTGGGTCCCACTTCAAGAAGCAATAATCCACGCCTGTCTGAAAATCAGGTCACCCTCTGACTAGGACTCTTAAACACTATGTCTAAACAAATCCCCATTAATTAAAAAAAAAAAAAAATCTGGAAAGGCTAATCAGTGTGTGTGTACCTTTGTTCCTCTTGTTTGCAAATATAAAAGGAAACATCTGTCCACTCCAAGGAAGGTTCAGTTCTCTCTGAGACTCAAGTAAGCACTCGCGGGATCACAAATCCTCTCCCTTTTTAGACTCTTCTGTGTCTCTTTTGTGTTTCACTCGCTCTTTTTGAACAAAGATTTTCCTTTCCATGAGAACCCATTTTTAGCCCAATCTTTCTTCTTTAGTCCAATCTTTCACTCTCTTTGTAAGATCAAGAAATGGATTTCAACAATTTTGATACTGTAAAAGCAGAGAAAGTTAATGCAATGAAGAAATACAACAACTTACAAACCTTAACAAAAGTGTTTCGTTTACTGGAATTCTGTCTTGCTTTAATCCTCTTCTCATGGATCTTTAACAAGCTTCCATTTGCTGTCAAGATTTCCGGGGAGTTTCTCCGGTATCTAGCCCGCATAATAGCCAGCCCCCTCTTTGTTTTCTTGCTTTCTAACGGGATAATTGCTACCTTGATAGCGAAATCCGGCAGATTCTCCGGCGAGAATCCCGGCGCAGACAATGCTGATACTCAACTGTACGAGGAGCTTGTAAAAAACACTGACAGCAACCGCAACTGTCCAAAGCCATTTCTCTCAGAGAATCCTGATTTGTTATTGTCTCATGCCGCGACAGCGACAGCGACAGAGATGGAGACAACAACAAAAGAGGAGGAAGTAGTGTTCCAAGAAAAACATATCGTCATCTCCGAAGAGAATACTTCCACTCGCACTCGTGAAAATGGGGATGAAGATCACGCTCCTGACGCGGAAATACATTCAGACTTGGATTCTGACTGCGAAAACATGAAATTTCGGAGGACAAAGTCGGAGAAGATGGAGAGGAAGAATTATGTGAGGGAAAAGAAGCAGCTGCTGCGGAGATCGGAGACAGAGAAGTTGGGGTCAGGAGAGGAGAATTTGCTTTGCAGAGAGAATGAGTTGAGTGATGAAGAATTTCAGCGTGCCGTTGATGAGTTCATTGCAAGGAATTTGATGTTTCGTCGACAAGAGTCCATGTGTGTTGTTGTTCAAAATCAGATCACAAATATTGCTGAAATTGAGAAACAATGTTAAGAGAGATAAATAAAATCTATGAATTTCTGATTTTCCTGTTTTCATTGCAATTTTGAGCCTAACTTGATTGGAGATGATTGAAATTATATCCTTTGATTTTAATTGTTGAACCAGCCAAACATACAAATTAACTTGAGTTTTTATTTTGTCCTACATCAGTAAATAAAATAAAAATAAAGGGTGTAAAGAGAAAATGAAGAAGCATGCTCGTATTGTTGTGACTTGTGACACCCAAAGAAACAGAAGTGTAAGGTGGTGAGAATTTCTTTTTTCTTCTTTTGCTGTTATAATGCAGTAACGGGAGATTAGCTGTGTTTGATTGTAGTTCGAAAAATTTTATGATTATAGTTTGAAAAGATTGCTTTAAAAGAAATTATAATTAAATTATAGTTTTTGTTTTTAACTAAGAATTAAAGAAGGAATCCTTGATGAGATTTATCAAAATCATAGTGTGTATTAATGAATAAAATACTTTCGAAATTGAAATAAAAATATAAACCTCATAACACATAAATAGCATATCTACAAAATTGAATAATGCATTCCAAAATTGCAAATATGCTTTTATGATTGATTGATATCAACTTAAACTAGCTGTGAAGACCTTCCCACCCAGTCTTTCTTCACAGTGTTGCTAAATTCTAAAACCACATCAACATTCTTAGATGTCGACTGTTATTTGGACTTTTCTATCATTTTGTCTTTGATTACTAAGAGCTTGAGGTTCATTGTCTATGGATGATTCAAGTCAATCTCAAACTCATTGATTTTCTTACCTTTTCTCCTATAGAGAGCTACCCTTGTTCGTTCATTAGCATCTAACTAGTTGATATTAGAAAATGGCATCTTCATTTTTGGTTTTTAAGGTGAATGCTTGCAATTCATCAAGCAAGATTTGCAATTATTGAGGACCCTAAATGAAATGTGGGCATACCCTTTCGTTACAAAGACATTAGTAATGATCAAGAAAGAAGCACAAGTGGTTAAACTGTCAACTTAGGCTAGCCAAGCCTCTTTCTGTTGTTACTAGGCAGCTTTTTTCAATCATTAAGACATGACAAACTTGATTCTTGAAAGGAAGACCGTGGGATGAGAAAGTTCAACATTTTCTTTTTCGTGTAATTGATTAATGATAAAATCTATCTTTGAAACTAAGATTTCGCGGCAGGGTTATTAAGCATTGTCCCACAATGCTTTCCCCGAAGCAAATAGCTAGAGATTTCCAGTGGATATATATTAGCACCAATCATTGTAGAATTATGTAGTAATAATTCCCTAACAAAATATACTTTCCTTCCACCATTCCTTTAATCTCCCAAGGAAAAGTCACTTTTGTTTTTCTTATCAAGAAACATTAGATTCTTGATTAGTGAATTGATCATGATCTTTCAATTTGCCTACCTTGCTTTAATATTCCCTTTTCTGTTCTTTTCTTTGGGGGGAGTCATGATTACTTCCACCTTCAATGACTATTGGGGTGGTTGAATTAGTTATCTCATTGTATTTTTTTAAAAGGGATTTTACCCAACTTAAGACACCGCTTTAGCTTTCACTAATGTTTTCTCCCCAAGGTCATGTCAAACACCTTTGCCCTCTCTTTTTATGAAGGGACTGAATGACTAGGCATGCTCTAGCGTAGTGTTTAGGAGTGGTAGCCAGCAGTCCAGCCCTTTCAAGGGCAATATATATATTATATATTTCATTTGTTTATTTATATAATGTGGCATGCAGCTTGCTATTATCCATTAATTGGATAAGTTCCCTCAAAAGAAATCTCTGCTGGATAAATAAACCTTCCAATCATTCTGCTAAAGCTTCATAAATGGTCTGCCTTTATTGCTGAAAATGGGGATAAAAGGAAAGAAACAAAAAGCAAATATGCGATCTAATGTTGAAAATGGTCTGCCTTTTTTGAATTCGTTCAAATCAACCTCTCTTGTTAGTTCAATTGAAGGCGATTTGAGCCCCTCCATCCAACTTCTCTAATTAGAGAACAGCCAAATGAATGCCATTTGTAGAACATAATTGGGAAAGGGAACTCAAATTGCCTCTAATTAGAGTTACAGGATTGGTTTGATCAAATTTGCAAACTACAGGGATTAGGCTCGGGCGTGGTTTTAGCTTTTCGAAGAATTTTTCTTTCTGCTGCTAATGACTTCAATATGCTTAATTAACTAAGACCCCACTTATGAAAGTTAATTAAGTTACTTAATCTTGAAAAAACACTTCTTTTAGTAGTAGCTTAGTTTAATGTAATGGCATCATATTCTATGCAAGACCACCAAGACAAATTTAGGTACGAACTTCCTATACTTTGGTCCCCCAAGGTTTTATTTATCTAATGTTGTTTAAGGCCCCTAATTATGAGTCAGCTCAGGTGCCAATTTTCTTCAACTAGCAAGAAGCACAGATCCCTAATCGTTTTAGGAGGCCTAATTACTTTTACTAATTTATAGACTATGATTAGTGACTAGTCGCTAAAGTCGTGCCAGATTTCAAGTCATGAGCACATAAGCATACCTGTGAATGAGTTTGATCTTGTTTGGGCTCTTTGAAGTATGTCCACATCATGTAATGCGACTTGTACTTAACATGCCACTTGCTTTAGCAGAAAATGAAAATGGTCGTTGAAGAATTTATGCTTTCTGATAATTTCCTTCTTATTTACATCATAATCTATGCCATACTTCTATCTATACGTAGAAAATGGATCATTTTGTGATTACGTTAATATTGGTTCTACCTAGATATTATTTTTTAAAATATTATTTGTTTAAAAATATATTAAAATTTTTAATATTAGCATATCAAAATTATTTAAAAATATAAAAACTAATAATTTAAAATTTAATTTTTTTTTTTTTAAAATATAGTTGTATCGTTATTCAAAACATCGCCGAAATAGATACTTATCCTTTCAAAATAGATATAGATGATATTTATTTTTGTATTTTTTTAAATATAGTTAGATCGCAATACAAAACATAGCTAAAATACATCCTTATCCTTTTAACATATATATAAATATAAATATAGATCATATTTATTTTTTAAAATCAAGAGACTAACGTACGGGGGTAACTCTTCTCCCAAATCCTCCTCACCTTTCTTTTTAGGATTTGAGCTTGAGTAACCACTAGGATGTGTGGGAATAAAATTGTTAAATATTCTTTCAACATGATATATCTATAGAATTAATCCAAGCACTATTTAGTATCCGTCTTTCAGACAAAAGTCGAGAGTTTGAGCCATAGAAAAACAAAATTCTAAGGATCAATATATATTGGCAAGACGGGATCTGAGTATAGTACTGCAAACAAACTTGTTTGAATATGATATATTTATATCATATAACCTAATAAGAAAATAATTACAACAAAGAGAAGAAAAAAACAAAAACACATGTTCTTGAGCCTAGAATACAAACTATACTTAACATAAAGGTATCCGTATTTCCATTTTTTTTTTTGAAGAAACAAGATTTATGCACGAAATATTGTTACGAGGAAACCAACACAATGGCATGAACTCAGAGAATCAGAATCGTTTACTTGCTTGTAACGAGGAAGAAATCATGGGAAGAGTGACGCTACGAGAGCTTTTCCACCCTCAAATAGGCCCCAGCGAGCTGCGAGTATTGGCCCCACGAAAAACAAATTGCAAGTCTTTATTTAGGAAGAACACAATAATTTTCACCGGCACCGATCGATTACAAGGTTCGAATTAACCTCAAATTCCAAAAAACACTACATGTCGCCTATTAGCAAAAAAGAGCACTGTAATCGTATCAAATGGTAAGACATCTAGATGAGATGATGATTAAATGGTAAAAACTTGAAATTAAAAGATTTGTTTTTTATGTGATTTTAAATTTGAGTCTTTAATTACTTATATAATAACTATTAAAAATTTACATAATCTTAACACAAGCTAGCAACACCCATCTTAATTTAAAAAAACACTGTCAATCTATGCATTCAGTACTTGGCATTTTTCACAGGCACTCGTCAAGAGGAAATCTGCAGTTGGAAGCACATGCAAACTGAGCCCATAAATGAACAAATATATTACAGTATGTGGGATAAAAAAAATCCCCTGGTCATATTTTGTTGGAGGGTAAGCTTCATACATTATAATTATAAAATAAACTAATTAATCTAGTTCTTTTGTTGTAGACTTTACTGTCCCCTTGTATTCGTAGTTAATGTGGACTGTATATATCGGGGGCAATGCATTTTTTTACTTTTTTTCTGAGGCAAAACGTCAAAGCTTTTGATTTATATATGTTTTATCTTTGTCGTTTATGTTTTTACATTTTATTTATCAAACTTTATTTTTATCCTATTTAGCTTGACGATGTTTTCAGAAATGTGAGAAAAAAAATATTAAAAAAATATTAAAAAAATATTAAAAAATTACTTTTCAGCAATATAAAAAACCAAATATTATGTCAATATATTCATTGTGAAAAGTAAAATTTAATAAAAATAGTTTCTCCTCTTAACTATTTCGAAGTAGATGTTTTCAAGTTAGAAATGAAACTATTGAAGCGTGTTTTTAAATTTTGAAGATCCAAACCCTCCTATTCTTTTTGTATTTTTTCAATTAGTGAAAATGGTTAGAAAATATACTAATGGATGACATATTATCCACCCATCTAAAAAAGGTCTAGGTGTGCAAAAGGCTAGGCTTTTTTCTCTTGGAGTAGGCTCACAAGACGACCCGTCTTTCTAGGTCCAAATGCACCTTGCTTTTTTATTTTTCTTTGTTTAATGACCCCTCACCTTCTAGTTTTCCTTTTTTTCTATTTTCTTAAAAAAATTAATAAAAATGATAATTAATTTTTTTTTGATTATGTCATATTTTTTAAATAAGATTAGTTCTTTTTTGATAATATTGAAAATAAATTTATGAATAATTATATATGAAACTTGAATTATTTATTTATTAATACAATCATTTTTCTTGGTTGAAAATGATTTTATAGACCATAATAAGCTTTTACATGAATAATCAAGCTTTTGATATTTGTTTGTCAAAATAA